AACCCCCCCCCCCCCCCCCACCTGTTGTGGTGGTGGGGGGGGGGGGGGACCTGGCAACCCTGCTTGGTTCTGACCATTTGCCCTGGGATTCTACTCTTCCCCTCCTAGAGACCCTGAGGAGGAGGCTCAAACCCAACCCCGAGACCTTGCAAACCTGCCGAGAGCAGCAGCCTCTCCATGACTCCGTCTCTTTCTACCTCCGTGGGGCTGGAGAGGCAAGAAAGAGCTCAGAAACTGGATCAGGTTCGATCCCCATTTCAATTCCAGTTTGCGAAAAAACAATCCTGTGAATATTTTCATGCCATCTCCTTTTCCCCAGGCCAAATATTCCCTAGGAAAAGTATGCATCCCCCCCCACCCCCAGTCACCTGTGCATCAATTGCATATAAATTGTGTAAAGTTGTGCAAAAATAGCCTGTGCGCATAAATAGGCTGCAACAGAAACAAAATAAAAATCGAAACAGCGATGAGGCAGACGGAAAACCAGAACAATGAAAATGTACAGGATCAAAAAGAGTCTGGCGAAGTCAGTTCATTTCTACTCAGAAACCCACTGTGGGGATTGAATGCAAATGGAAACCAGTTCTGGAGTTAAGAGTGATGATTTCTGGCCCCTCATTAATGCACAGGCGGGGAGGACAGGACCCATGGTTTGCCGCCGACATGTCGGATCGCGTTCTGGCGGCTCTAATTGCACTGGATCAATTAGCCACGCCTCCCCCCTGCATTATCTGGCCTGTGTGACGGGGCCTAGGTTTAGCTTTGCAGGCCAACAACAAAACCTTGGCCCGTTCTGCATCTGGCATTCGTTCCACATTTTCTCAGCACTGGGGGAAAGATGCAGCTCAAAACAACACTCAAATGCCCCAGGGTCAACGCTCGTACTGACTGCAAAGTCACCCCTGAACGGCCATAAAACCAGGGGTCATTTTCTACAGAAGCACACAGGAGCGGAGCTCCGGCAGTAAAGAGCCCAGGGGGCGGGCACATGCAACAAGCCCCACCCCCTGATCCCAGCAGCCCTCAGTCAGAGCAAGAAGCAGGCAGGTAAACCGCAGAGCCCCCCCCCCCTTCAGGTACAAGCCCTCCCTCCTCTGCGAAGACAGATCTGCATGTCCCCCGGCCAAATCGCTAGCAATCCAAAACAATCCAGTGGAGCCTCAGCGGTGGGTGTGGCCTTCTGACACACTTCCGATGATGTCGGGGGTGTGGCATATGCAAATAAGTTATGCTAATGTGTTATGCTAATGAGCTCCTGCACCTCTTTTTCTACGAAATGACCCCTGCATAAAGCGGTCATAAATCTATGCAGGAGGTACCATAAAACTTGATGATCAAAGGAAGCGGCATGCAATGAAGAGGGGAATTTCTCTTCCAACGTGGGCTTGCTAAAACAATGGAGGGAAAAGCCAAAGCAAAATTGCCCCTTATTTCATCCCCAGTGGCCATCCTGGGCCCCTTCTCTGAGATGTGCCTGGGTAGACTTTTCGATCCTACAGCCAAAGAGCATTTCAGCTATTCCTCTGTGATCATCGCCAAAGCTAAGCATAGAGTCCACCAGCCCCATAAGAATGCACCATACTGAACCTGTGCTGTGGGGGCCTTTAGAAGGCTGTAGACATGCCCCCCCCCCAGTTTTCAGGGGATGGAGGCAGCAGTTTTATTCCGCATCCCTACAATTTCCTTCATCCTTAGTGCGTTTTTCTACTGACTTGGAGTCTTGCTGTTTTTATGGCCCTTCGTTCGCAGTTCACACACCCTTTGATTTCGCATTTAATGAGAGCTGGAATAAATGTAATTTCATGGCAGTTTTAAAATATGGTGTTTATGGCTTTACTCTGTGAATTGTCTGGAGGACAGAAATACAAGCTATGAATAATGAGATCACTTTCAACACGGCTGAGGGGAATGCGGTCTTGCTTTCGTCTAGAATCCTGTGCTTCACTCCCAAGTAGTAAGTCATAATCAACAGGTACAGCAACTTCCCCTGGGAAGGGACCACTGCTTAGTGGTACAGCATCAGCTTTGCATGCACAAAAGGTCCTAGTTTGAGCCCTTGGCACCCGCAGTTAAAAGGATCGAGCTGCAGACAGTCTGCAGGACTGCAGTCCTCTGAGCTGAGAATGCTGACCTCGACAGAGCAATGTTCTGACTAAGTATAAAAGCACCAGTTTTTCAACAGTGAGGCTAAGAGAAATTCTCTTTAATTCTTCTTTGTGCAAGTTCTCCCTGAAGTCCAGCTGTTCTCTTTCTACTTTTTAGGAATCTGGAGACTGTTTTGATCAGAGATAAATCTGAAGAAAGGAGGAATAGGAAGAGAGGGTCTGCAATATTGCAGATTTTCACTCCAGAGCTGCTAAGAGGCAGGCCAGGCAGGCAGTGTCTTCCCAGACCTTCTTATCTTTCTGCTAAAGTACCACCCTGTGGTGCGTATCATAAAACAAACTGCAAGGCCATTGATTTCTCTACAAAGAGAAATCAAGAGAAAGGAAAGAGAAACTCCTCTTTTAAAAGAGAAAAAAAGAGAAGGGAATCAGTGGCTGTATCTAAGTGAATTTCAGAAGTAGTAGTTCCCCTCCCCACAACAATGCCAGTTTTCAACACAGAATGGGTGAGCTGTGTTTTTCTCAGAAATGTCCTTCAGTTTTGTGTTGATCAGAGTACCAGATACACATCCATCCTCAGCATTAAAGAATTGTTTGCTGTTTTAACACAAAGCATGCTCAGACTAAGAGCTGTGGATCTATGAAGGCAGCAAGCTTTCAAGGCCAAAACGAAGACCAAAAAACAAACCAAAACCACACCCTACCTGGATTAGAAAAAGGTGTACAAAAAATAGAATTATCTTCTGTAGCAATTAGTTCACCTTCGTGCAAAGACAAGCACAATATGCACAAGAAAAGAGAGTCTTGCACAAGACAAAGATTTATAGGAACGTAAGGTCACTTTTGCATTAAACTGGTTGTTAACTGTTACTGGCCCAATTCTTTGTAAAACAACATATGGAGGGAGGTTTCAGACAGCGTATTTAAATCTGTTTATGAGTGGTATCATAAAGGCTCCTGCCCATTTCAAACTGTGCTGCTTCCCCTCCCCCCAGCCCATTTTGCAGCGCATTCTGTTTTGGAATTTTAAGAACACTCTAGCTTTTGCGCTATAACACTACACCAGTGGACTTCCGGTTTATGGAACAGCGATGGTGGATGCTCTCCCCGAACCGCGGGAGAGCGATCTGCACACCAGCGGCTTGGAGGAGTGCCACCTCAAGTGACACCCCCATGAAGCCTTTGCGATAGGCTCCAGGCCAGAGGGCTTTTGAGGGGTAGCCTCTTTGATGGTGTAATGCCATCAAAGAATCGAGGCTCCCCTCTGCCCTGATGGTCCAGTCGCTGTGTGGCCTTCAGGCACTAGTTGGTTTGACCGGGACAAGCACCGGAGATTGAGCGGAATGGTGTTTAAGATGAGTGAGGTCAGAGAAACTGACCGACAATGAACGTGAGTTCAGAATAAACCGAATTATTGTAAAAGCGGATTCCCTCCCCCATTGATAAAAGAGGCTGCTAAGAGGGACGCCTCTTATGCGAATGAACTGATAAGCGATACGAAGGGGGAGAGGGAAGGAAACACGATGAGTGTGTTTTGAGAGACTTACTTGATTATCGTCATTGTGGGGCAAATTTTTCGAGCTGGGAAGAAGCATTAGAAACTATAAACAAATCGGAGAAAATGGTGGCCCAGCAGAGAAAGTTGAAAATGAAACCACTGGGCAGTCAGAGTCCAGCAACTGACCGTGATGAATAAGAACTTTGCAGCTCAACAGCTCCAGCTGAACGAAACGGAGAAGAAAGTGGAGGAGGCAACTGAGAAAATTAAAGAGATAGACACCGCAAGTAAGAAATTGAAGAAAAGAATGGGAGAAATGGAAATGAAGCAGAAGTTCCAAGAAAATTGTTTGCTGCAATTACAGATGGAAAAAGCTAACATGATTCTCGGGTTCCTGAGGAAGGTGCTTAGCAACATCATCACTCCAGTAATAGGCTTAACAGCGGATGAGTTAGTAAAAGAAATGGAGTTAGTCTACAGGGCATACTCCAATTATATTTAAAAAAATAGCCTGCCTGGAGAAATAGTGGTCAGATTCTCAAGAAGACAGACCATCTTAAAAGTGACATCAGCAACTCCACTGAAAACGGGAAATGTAATCATCAAGACCTTAAAAGACATTCCATTTGAAATTCGACAAAAGAGGGAAAACTACAAGGATCTAATTTCTTTCCTTCAAACCAATGTAATATCGTACAGGTGGGTGATCCCGGAGGGTGTTATCTTTAAGATCAATTATAAAAGAGAGAAGATAGACTCCATTTTTAAAGCTAAAGAGTTTTTGCGGCGTCAGCTGGGAATGGAGGAAGAGTCCAAGGAGGAAGAAACGAAATCTAGTGACTCTGCCACCTCTGGAATGGAAGAGGACTCTGCTGCAGAAACGGGAGTTGTATACGATTTTAGAGACAGAAAGCCGAAGTAAAGGCAGGACTCGGAAAATAGCCTTTTGAAGCGAAGAATAAGAAGATGATCAGAAAGTTCTCTCATAACAACATATTAACACACAAATATTGAAGCTGAGACAAACAAGAACTCTACAAGTATATTGTAATATTAACACTTATAGTATTAACACATACTAACAGGGATAAGATCTCCTCCTCTTGGGGTTTTAGTATAGTGTGATTATCTATCCTTTATCCCTAGATGTAGTCCCCTCCCTAATATTTTCTTTGTAGTTTTGTAGTTTATTGCAAAATAAAAATATCCCTCCGGGGGTTTTAAAACAAAACAAAACACTACACCAGTATAGTAATTCAATGCTTGCAGTTGTCATGTGAATGCTGGCAATGTAGCATTGAATGCTATATTGGCCTAGCGCTATCACACAAAATTTAGAAAGTTTTTTTAAAAGCTGAAATAGAACACACTGCAAAAAGGGTGTGTTGTGTCCCGACCTAGCCATGTGCTCAATCCCGTTTCGGCCGGTTCCACATGCGGTCAGGTGAGGTACCTGAGCTTCGCTCCCAAACACAATTGACGTTCAGATCCTAGTTCCCAGCCAATCGGGAACCTAGGCTCCCCAGGAATAATCTAATCAGTGTAAATAGACCATTCACGGGTGTGGGGTGTGTGGGGGTGTGTTTTCCTTGGGGCATATAAGCTGGCCTGCGAGCCGGCTACTTTGTCTTGTTCTTCTCCAAATAAAGTATGAGAGCTGAATTCACTAAGTAAGTCTCAGTATTTTTCAGAGTGGTACAAAAACAGCACTTTCAGAAGCTCTGCAGATGTTTCAAACACCACACTAGACCAATTCAGAAGCACAAGAAATACCTGCAGTTGGATGAAAGGGGTTAAAACCAAAACCAAAAATGGCTCAATTGTACTTTGCAAAAGGACACAAGTGACTTGGTATCAAAAGGTTAAAAAAATCCATTAGCAGCAGGGTTGCCATCCCCCCATGATTTTGGGGGGGCGGGAATCCACCGTTGTCCTGCCCAATGTGCCCAGTACAATGATGTCATCACGCCAGGCACATTGCGTGGGGGATGCTCTAGCATTTGGGCAAAAACTCTATGGTCATGTCAGGCAGGCCGGGGCGCATCAGGGGAGGTGGTGGATTGGGGCTCCCAAAATCGGGGGGAAACCCACCTCCATCGGCACTGCAAAAAGGGCCGAGGGGAGGAAGCAGCACAGTTTGAAATGGGCAGGAGCCCTTATGATACCACTCATAAACAGATTTAAATATGCTGTCTGAAACCTTCCTCCCTATGTCGTTTTACAAGGAATTGGGCCGGTCACAGATAACAGCTGGTTTAATATGAAAGGGACCTTATGTTACAAGGAATTGGGCCGGTCACAGATAACAGGTTTAACATGAAAAGGACCTTACGTACCCATAAATCTTTGTCTTGTGCAAGACTCTCTTTTCTTTTGCATATTTCTTGTGCATGTTCTTGTGCGTGGTTCGCATGTGTGCCAGAAGACTCCTGGAGAGTGATGCTGGATCCCTCCCGCGGGCAGCCAGGTAAGACCTGGAAACCCTAATGAGCAGCCACAAACCAAAACAGTTGTGTCTGAAACGACACATGAAATCTCTTGGCAACTGGCCACTAAAATGGATTACAAAGGCTGTTTGCAAGGGGCCCAAGTTATATTTTTACCAATATTCTGCAATAGACCAGCGTTGATCCTCTGCGAGGGAAGCAGCAGGAAGCAGGAGCCCACCGAGGGCTGAACCTCTGATTAAAAGGCGCTTTATTTCCCCCCACACATGACCGGACTTCTGCATGAATATTTATCCCTTCTGGAGCTCTTCATAAATGTTAGCAAACCTTCTCTGGGAAGCCTTCCAGGCACCAGAAGTAATGCAGTCTCTTACGTTATGTCTTCCAGCGCAACTGTAAGCTTAGAAAAGGCCCTTGGCAATAAACCACCTGGTTTCCTGGGTTACTGCTAAGACCATACTGAGCTTTGCTTGTCGTTTGTGAAGACTTTCTGAGCCCCCTCCTTCTTAAACTGGACCAGAAAGGCAATCTGCTTTCCCCGGCTCCGTCTGGCATGCCTTTGATCATGAGCCCTCCCTCTTGGAAACAGGGCCTTCCTATACAGAGCCAAAGCCCCGCCTTCCCCCACCCAGAAGCCAAGAGACAGCTCAGACTCTCTTGGGTCCCTAGCTTCCTCCTCCTCCTCCTCACCGTGTTGCCATTCTCAAGGGCCTGCCTCCCAGAACATTGTCTAGTTTCTCGATACTTGAAACAGCAGTTTACATTACATGAGTCAAAAAAGAACTGTTCCAGCGGTCTTCAGCCTTTCCTGACTTGGGACCAAACATTAGCCCCCACGTGGCAGAGTGAGACCAAAGGAGTTGAAAGCACAGGACAGGAAGCAACATCTGATCACATTTGTAGGACATCAGTCACATGACAGGATGACGAGGAGCCCTGCCTATGCTAAAAAGGAGGAAGAGAAGGAGGAGGAGATTGGATTTATACCCCCTGGCCCTTCACTCAGAGTCTCAGAGCGGCTTACAGACTCCTTTCCCTTCCCCTCCCCACAACAGACACCCTGTGTGGTAGGTGGGGCTGAGGGAGCTCTGAGAGAACTTGTGACTGACCCAAGGTCACCCAGCTGGCTACATGTGGAGGAGTGGGGAATCAAACCCAGTTCTCCATATTAGAGTCTGCCACTCTGAACTACTACACCAAACAGGCTCTTCACCACTGGGTGACCTCATCCCACCACCCGGCTGTTCTTCTCAGTGTTTGAGCGAAGACGGTCAGGGGACAGGACACCTTTTCTCTCTTTGCGTGCACACAAGCCATAGAGGCTTCCTACAAGCACTGGAAATAGGCTCGCTTTATAAAAGCTTGCAGTCCAGGAGGTGAGGCGCCGTGCCCAACCAGAGTGTCCTCCTGAACCATGGGCCGAGCACCACGGTCCTAGATTATCGAAATGAGTAAAGCTGCTCTTGTTGTTCGTCCAGTGATGAATTGCCACAGTTCATTACAGGTTCACAGCACGTAGTCTAACATTAGGCATGTTTACTCAGAAGCAAATCCTACTCAGTGAAGCTTCTATTCAAGGGCACAGGGCTGGAATCCAACGGCGCAATCCTGTACAGAGTTACTCCAGTCCAAAACCATCGACAGCGCAATAACTATGTACAGGACCACATAGCAAGGCCACCACCTTACAAAAGCAACCAAATTCAAGTGTGGGCCAGGTTTGGCCACCACAAATCACACGGTGGCTGGCCCGTCAGCGGCCTGTGTACAGGGACATCTCCTTCGTGGGGAAGAACGTGGGGAGATGACAGGGAGGAGCCTCGTCCCGCTCACCTCGTCAGCTCCTCCTCTGCAGCCACCGGCCCCTCTTCCATCAGGGCCTGCTTCTCCTCCTCGCTCTTCTTCTGCTCTCCCTCTGCCGGGATCGCCTCCTCGGGGCCCGTCTCTTGGCTGGCCGACCTGGTCTCCTTGGCTTCCGTCCGCACCCTGCGGTGCCGGCTGCGCCGCTGGCTGTGCCTCAGCCGGGCCCTTTCCTCGAAGGCCACGCTTCCTCCACCCTCCTGGTCAGCGAGACCACAGTTCCCGTGGAACGACTTGTGGTGCCACCCTTCCCACTCTCTCTTGGCTCGGGGAGACGGGGTCCTCTGGTCTTCCCTGATGCTCGGGCAAGGATTGGAACCCAGGACTTGCGGCTGTTCCGAGCCCTCTCCCTGTGCCCGCTCTGCCTTGCCCCCTTGTTCCCCCTCTTCCTTTTCGAGGCCAGAGTTCTCCAGCAGCTTCCTTCTCCGAAAGATGCTCGCGTGAGGGTTGAGCAGAGGGGGCTCCTCCTTGTTGATGGCCTCCTGGCTGGACATCTGCCTGTGTCGGCGGAGCTGGCTGGTCCTCTGCTCCCACACGGACATGTGGTGGCGCCTTCTCCTATCCCTCCTGGGAAAGGAAAACAAAGGGGTTCAGTCCATCTGTGCCCTGTCAGAAACACAAGAACACACACCAGTACATACGGCATGCAACTGGGACCAGTGAAAACCACACACTTGAACTTGGTTCTCTGTGCCCGCTGCATTTGCACGGCTATAGCCAAGGGAATTTGCTCTTCCCCCACCCTTTAAAAATCACGCCTTTTGCAGGGTCACAAGAGAATCAAGCCCACTGGTATGAGATCAACAGACAGATATCCAGCATCCACACCACCCACATTTAACGGGAAACACAGCAACAAGCCCCAAGCGACAGGGAAACCAATAGAAACAAAGGAGCCCATTCACTAAGATGCCTTTTACATTGCCCATCTCTCACCACCCAGCATATCGCTTGAAGCACACGGCATCCGCATGTGTGTACATAGACATGTAAACATTACGCTTAAATGTGTTTACAGTGCAGTTAAACAAGTACATGTGCACAGACAAGCATGGACGCAGCATTGTGTCTTGCATGCAAGTATCAGGGCTGAACAGAAGTGGCCCACTGTTGGGCAAATGAGACATTCCATTTACTGAACTGGAGAAGGTGCCAGTTGGCCAGCAAGGGAAGGTAGGAGGCTGTGCCCCAGGAGGGTCCATGCATGGGGAGCAGGTGGCGGCAGCAGCAGCAGCAGCAAGAGGGGAGGCATGCAATGCCAAGCCCCATCCCGAACATTCCGTAAATGCTCGGTTCCAAGGCTTTGGAGCACGTGCTCCACACACTGGTTTGGTGCCCCTCAGACGTCTCATCTCAAGATCCAAAGAGTGCCGGAGCTCTCCCCTCCTGTGCTCATACTCCAGCAGCAATCCAAAGCGCATGGACTTGGAAGCAAATCCTGTTGCAGAAAGAGGGACGGGACTGCGGAGCGAGCATGCACGGGGGACACTTTTCAGCTGCTGGGTGCAGCAGCTTTTCAGCAAGAGTGCTCCGCCTCCACCCTCCGTCTCACAAAGCCAGAGTCTCTGCGTCTGTGTGAGATGCATTGCTCAGGGCTGCGGAAAGGTAGCCAGGGTCCCAGGAGGTCTTGGGGACCGCCTCCTGCAATCCCGCCCCCTCTGCTGCCAGTGGATAACAGAGCGTGCATGAAACACAGCAGTCATATTGTTGCATTTTGTTGTATCTAAGGATGATAAATGCATTAATAACCATGAATGATGAGTCACTGAACGGGCCACCGATCTGATTCTGTAAGCCACTGCAGGGATAGCCTATGGTTGGGTGGGCATGATCTTCCTTGTCCACTAGCCTTTGGCAATAAAAACCTATGCATTGGTGGCCTCTGGCTTCCTGGGGTCCTTTCTGGGGCATTATTATTATCATTATCTTATGGCATTGTGTGTAGTATAGCCAGGAGATCCTAAGATGGTCTGGCATCCAGAAGTTCTAGCTCTTTTTTAGCATTATGCACCACTAGATGGTGAGCTAGTCTTGTTTTTAAGGCAAGAGACATTTTAGAGGTGGTTTGCCATTGCCTGCCTCTGCGTCACAACCCTGGTATTCTCTGGAGGTAGCCCTTCCAAATACTAGCCAAGGCCAACCCTGCTTAGGTTCCAAGATCTGATGAGATCGGGCTAGCCTGGGCTTCGGGGGCATTTTGCTTCCTTCCCTCCTGCCCTGTAGGGATGCTCTCCCACCATTTTTTTTTTGATAGGATATTAGGAAGGTATTTGAGACCCTGATAAAACGGTGCCTTGTGGTATGAGTCAGGTGTGCTCTGCAGTATTATACAACTGCACATTTGACCACTGTAACAGACAGACACACCAACACAGGCATACATGTATGAACACACACCCGCTTGACACACGTCAGAAAGTAAATACACAAATACACGCAGTACAACCTTTAATCTTGTGTGCACATACATACATATAATAGAAACAGACACACACACTCAGACCCACATAACAGCTTAAGCTGGTTCACAGGTACATCTCACACCAACACACAGAGGCACACAATGCAAACAAACACACAGAGATACAGTGTACCATTATAGACCTACACTGATTCACAGTTCTTCAGGACACACACACACATAAATAAAATAAAGATATCCACTCACAATGTGAATGTAGAACACCTGTGCTCTCAATACCACCCCCACCCTGGTAACCTTCTCACATACAGACACACACACACGACCTCTCACAACGTGCAACCACATGCACACATACAGATTGCTGGAGCGTGGTTCCCACATCGACATGTGGTGCCTCCTCCTTCTGTCCCTTCTGAGGAAGAAAAATGCATGGGTTCAGTCTGCAATAATGTCTCTGGATCTTAGCACCATCCGCGCATGAAATTTACATACATACACACGCAGAAGACCATATGTACCTTAATGCTTGTCCACAGAGGGACACATAATGCGTTTCTTTCATCTTAAGTAATGTACATTATGGTAAAGGTAAATGTTTCCCTTGCTCAAAATGTTTCCCTTGCTCGAATCCGACTCTAGGGGGTGGTGCTCATCTCCATTTCCAAGCCAAAGAGCCAGCGCTGTCCAAAGACGTTTCCGTGGTCATGTGGCCAAATGCTGAGGCGCACGGAACACTGTTACTTTCCCACCGAAGCGGCACCTGTTTATCTACTTGCGGTTTCTTGCTTTCGCACTGCTAGGTTGGCAGGAGCTGGGCCAGAGACGGGAGCTCACTCCGTCATGTGGCACTCGGATCTCGAACTGCTGAACTACTGACCTTCCGGTAAGCAGCTCAGCGTCTTAACCTCTGAGCCTCCATGGTCCCTCAATGTACGTTACATAAGAATAATACACACAGGTGGTTAGGAACTATGCATTTACGCATACCTAGAAAGTGGTTTTCATATAGATTATTTATTTATTCATTTATTTATTTCGGTTTCTATTCTGCTCTCCCCCGTGAACGGGCTCAGAGTGCATGACCACATAAGTTAAAACATTTCACAGTAAGGATTAAAACACTTCATGAAAAATCATCCATAATAAATAACCACAACAGATTTTAACTGAGCTATAAACAAAACTGCCACAAAAACTGGAGCTGCTAGCCTGCAGACCATAGACTGTGGGTCTTCACCTGATGGGCTGTTTGAGGCTGGAAGGTTCAGCAGGGAAAGCTAATAGACGGAATAACTGGACGCCCAAAGGCCTCACCCAAAGGCCTGGTGGGACAGCTCCGTTTTACGGGTCCTTTGGAACTGTAATAGGTCCCATGGGGCCCTGATCTCCAATGAGAGCATGTTCCACCACATCGAGGCCAGGGCAGAAAAGGCCCGGCCCTGGTCGAGGGGCTAGGCAGACGTCCTTTGGGCCGGGGACAACCAGCAGATGCTGATCTGCAGAGCGCAAGGCTCTCCGGGGCACGTGTGGGGAAAGGTGGTCCTTCAGATACGTTGGTCCCTGGCCACACAGGGCTTTGAAGGTTGGTACCCAACACCCTGAAACAAATCCAGTACTCATTCGGAAGCCAGTGCAATCTGCCCAGCACAGGCTGAAATACCCATAACTTAGATGCTAACTGTATAAACCTTCGCTTGTATGCAAGAGGGTTAGTGCCCTGTGGGAAGGTCTACGCTTTGCCTCCCAGCATTTCAAGGGGTTGGACCCTGTAGAAAAGCACACAAAAGTGGAATACATCTTCCCCTGCCTTCCCCTTCCCCCAGCAACCTGCCGCTTGACGCAGAATTATCCCTGTAGATTGGGGAACCCTCCTGAACCAAAATGTACTGCAGCGGGGGTGGGCTTAAATTGATCCCCCCACCGCGGCCTGTTGGATTGCGGTACATGTTTGTTCTCCAAGGTTCCACAGCCCACAGAGAGGACTCCTTGAGACAAGTTGCTGAGAGAAAGATGGGGAAAGATTTATTCTGACAACTTAGAATCATAGAATGATAGAATGTTAGAGTTGGAAGGGACCTAGCAGGTCGTCTAGTCCAACCCCCTGCACTCTGCAGGAGCAGAACTGAAAGAGAGCCCTACAACATCCCTGAAAGATGGTCATCCAGCCTCCCCTTGAAAACGTCCAGCGAAGGAGCATCCACCACCTCCTGAGGCAGACTGTTCCACTGCTCAACCACTCTGACAGTTAGGAAGTTTCTCCTGATATTTAGCTGGTAACGACTCTCTTGTAATTTCCACCCATTAGATCTAGTCTACTTCTGCAACCTTTCCCACAAGATCCAACTTTGAAGGCAAGGTTGGCAAAGATTTATGCCTTCAGTGCCAGAGATCAAGGGGTCCGTATCTACCACTGGCATTCAGGTCTGGGAATGTTAGAATTAACTATGGATTTAGACTCCCTGTACGGTAGTGAGCGGGTTCTGTAACAAGGTTTCTGAATGCAAACATCTGGCTTTAAAAAGAGCATGGAGCAACACGCTTAATTGTCACCATTCCAGAGTGTAAAAGCATCCTAGATAGAGGGAACTATCATTTGCATCCCTGTAAGGGCTGCGTCTGCACTTTCGTTGTTGTTCCCTAGCGTGGCAGGAAACAGAAAGGAAAGGCTGCGAGGTTGCAAAGAAACACCTGTGTGGTTTAATGGATACATTCTCAACACCACGGATTTTCAAACCGATTTCCAGAGATCTCGGGCACTCCTTGGAAGCTTAGCCAGTGGGATTAGACTCAGATGTCCCTGCAATATACCATGACCATCTGCAGAAAAATTCTTTTGGCTTATGAGATTTCTATCTTCTTTTTAAGGTGCGCTCTCCTAACAGTGAGGCCCTTGGGTGCTACTGACAGCAACACCTCCAAGTGGGGTTTGGCTGTCTTGGAATTTCTTCCTCTGCATGTTATTTGTTGGCTGCATCTTGTTAATCTGGAAAACAAATTAAAATTTGAACCTCCCCCTGCGGTGTGAAGCGAAGAGGGAGTGTCGGGTACACACTCTAGTGTGTACCCTTGATTTAAATGGGACAATGATGAGGCCCAATCAGCTGGGCCAGCACTTCATTTGAATTCTTTGTGTCCCCTAAAAGGCACCCTCCCATTTCCTCCCCAGCTCACGAGCTCCATGGCAAACACATGTGAGCTCCCTGGAAGAACAGCTGAAGTGGAGGTGATGCTCTGAAGGCAGAAAGTCTGAAAAGCCAGCCAGGAACTGGGCTGGCCTGGGCTGCAAGACAGACCCTCTGGCACAAAGTGGCAAGGAACAGGATTGCACCACATGTGCTTCTGAGCGGACTGAAATCTGTCCTAAATGCCCCATACACTTCAAAGCACATTTGCAAGCTTTTTGTGTCTGTGTGCCCATTGGAAATGCTCACCTGATATGCCTTCACAGCTAATTTTTTTTTTAAAAAGGTTAGGGTTTCTCTCTCCCATATTGCATGATCCCCAGCCAATCGGGGATAATGACACTGTGCAACACAGCCAATCGGACCTGGCTGTGTAATGATATCACAGAGGGCACGCCCTTTGCTTGGAATGTGTATCAGAAGCAGCCCGGAATAACCATGTCCCAGAGGCAACATGCTGCCCCAGCCCCCGTTTGCTGTAGTAGTATGACCATTTACTCTTCTGGCTGTGGCTGTTACAATGCAGTAAAGCAAGGAGCTCGGACCTGGTTACCTCAGCAATGAGGATAGCTCTCCCCCCTTCCTAACCCTTCCTCTGCAATCCAAAGGGGGTTTCGCAGGGGGCAAAGATACTCCTGTATTTCAGCTCAGCACAACCGTGAATTGTTCACGGCAAACTGGGCATGGTTATGAAGACAGCATGCAACTGCCGTGAGCTAAAAGATTCAGCACAGACATGACCTGCGAGTTTAAATGGTACCACAAACCGCTTTGAGCTCTTAACCAAAGACAGGTTGAAATAATTAAAATAACTAAATCTGAGCATTCTGTGCACAGTCATAGATGCAAGTTTCATGCATGCAAATGAAACACATGCATATAATTGCAAAAAAACCAAACCCAAACACCCCAACCCCTCCCCAACCCTGTACTCTTTCATTAGGTTATTTATGAACCACACATACTCCATGTCAACGTTTTAGAGAAGCAGAAATCACTCCAACCCAACCAAGAATGCATGCGCTCAAAACTGATGTACACAAAATATAACCAGTATACATGGTAAGACTCATGTACGCCACGCTGAACTCTGTGGAGGAAAGCTAGGATGCAAATACACTCCTCCGGTGGGGTCCAATGGTAGGTGGGATGCTCACACCACAGGAGTGCCCATTCCCAGCACAATTCTTCCCAAACCACCCCAAGTGATTGCTAGGTTCATACCACAGGGGAGGAGAATGGGATGGAGCCAAGGAGAAAAGAAAGATCGCCAAAAATGCACTGAGGTTCAGAGGTTGAGATTTACTGATTAGATTGCGAATAAGTTTTTGCCTGCTGCATCCAAAGTGAAGAAGGACATATTCACACATACAGGAATTCTTGCATATGCATGCCACTATATACTCAGAAAAACTGGCTCAACAAATTACATTAGCGACTTGTCGTTGCTGTACAAAGCAGGGGCACCTTTGGAGGTTCCAGTGTGCGTGCATGTGTGTGTGTGCGCCCATGTGCAGAGTTCTCTGAGGGGGACAGATAAAGGTTCAAAGGCTGAGTTTTGACTCTCCAAAATATTACATTATGCAAAGGGAGACTGGTCACTTTTTAATACTTCACAATAGTTGCTTCTGAGGAATCATCACACCCAGGAAGGAAGGGGACTCTGCCTCCCCTCCGGTAAGAGAGCCCCAATGGTTATACCTGTTGGTCATAGAAGCATGCATATGCTGCAGTGCACATCCAGATCCTTCCCTGTTAATGTGACACACAATGCATGGAAATCCACTCTCAGATACTGCACATCATGTTCAGCACATACAAACCTACTCGCATGAAAAAACTCCTGCATCACTGATGTAACCCTGTAAGCACTGTAAGCTATCGTTGTGCGTCTCATCCTTCTGGACTGTGCACACACGTACAAAATATTACATTATGCAAAGGGAGACTGATCACTTTTTAATACTTCACAATATACATGGAGAACAGTTGCTTCTGAGGAATTATCACACTCAACCTGAAACACCCAGGAAGGAAGGGGACTCTGCCTCCCCTCCGGTAAGAGAGCCCCAATGGTTATACCTGTTGGTCATAGAAGCATGCATATGCTGCAGTGCACACCCAGATCCTTCCCTGTTAACGTGACACACGATGCATGGAAATCCACTCTCAGATACTGCACATCATGTTCAGCACATACAAACCTACTCACATGAAAAAACTCCTGCATCACTGATGTAACCCTGTAAGCACTGTAAGCTATCGTTGTGCGTCTCATCCTTCTGGACTGTGCACACACGTACACACATGTACACACACACACACATCCAGGCTCACTTATGCTAGCGAGCATACTTTCCTAGCTCTTTCATACAGCCTACTTCCATGGCCATACTGCCTATCTGTGAACTTCAGCACAATAGGAGTTTATTGTTGATGCCGAAAACTCCCACCTTCCCTCCCTCCCTCTCTGAATAGTTCTGTCATGTCGGTCATGTTTGAGTTCCTGCTCCTGCCAGGCTCTGTAGACCTGCCTCCCTTCAGTGTCACTGCACAGAAATGATTGGGAGAAGTGAAGGCTTCTGGGTATCCTAAACAATCCCAAAAGATTTTAATCGATTACCTCCTTTTGGGGGGAGAAACACGTGATCTCAGTGGCCTTTGCCCAAACGGGACCTCTGAAACCTTGTTGCATACTTTCCTAGCTCTTTCATACAGCCTATTTCCATTGCCATACTGCTTATCTGTGAACTTCAGCACAATAGTTTATTGTTGATGCTGAAAACTCCCACCTTCCTTCCCTCCCTCCCTCCCTCCCTCTCTGAATATTTCAGTCATGTCGGTTATGTTTGAGTCCCTGCTCCTGCCAGGCTCTGCAGACCTGCCTCCCTTCAGTGTCATTGCACAGAAATGATCAGGAGAAGAGAAGGCTTTCGGGTTTCCTAAACCATCCCAAAAGATTTTAATAGATTACCTCCTTTTGGGGGGAGAAACACGTGATCTCAGTGGCCTTTGCCCAAACAGGACCTCTGAAACTCTGTTGGCTTTCTTTATAACCTTTCTGCCTCTACTTACAAGGTGGAAGGATCCATTTTCCTTGACCCATTTGCAAACAATTTATATGTTACTAATGAGGCATGGTTCCTGGTGCAAAATTCACACCTTCCCTCCCTCCCTCCCTCCCTCTCTGAATATTTCAGTCATGTCGGTTATGTTTGAGTCCCTGCTCCTGCCAGGCTCTGCAGACCTGCCTCCCTTCAGTGTCATTGCACAGAAATGATCAGGAGAAGAGAAGGCTTTCGGGTTTCCTAAACCATCCCAAAAGATTTTAATAGATTACCTCCTTTTGGGGGGAGAAACACGTGATCTCAGTGGCCTTTGCCCAAACAGGACCTCTGAAACTCTGTTGGCTTTCTTTATAACCTTTCTGCCTCTACTCACAAGGTGGAAGGATTCATTTTCCTTGACCCGTTTGCAAACAATTTATATGTTACTAATATGTGCAAACAAAATATGTTACTAATGGTGCAAAATTCACATGACTAGCTCACACGGGCACCCACCATGGCTGCATCTTCTTCCCACTGAGGCCTCAGATGACCACTGTAAACATCTTACAGTGCAGACACCTGACGCAAGAGAACACCTTTGCAGCAGCAAGCACACTATATGAACTGGCTCTAAATTGCTGCATCCAGAGGTGGTCTTACTGATTCTGGGGCTGTGGGCTAAAATCCAGGCCCAGGCTGCAGAACCCCTGTCGCCCCACTGCTGCCCACCCCCCATTAGGGCCAAGCCCTCACCCTGTGTGGTGTATACCCAGCGAGACTGCACACGCGGTCGAACTCACACGTGGCTGGCTGAGCTTCGCTTCCGACAATAGAAACAGAGGATCCTCGGACTCGCCAATCGGGCAGTCTGGATCCTAAAGGGAACCAGTGATTGAAAGTAGTATTCTATTTCCATTGCCATACTGCTTATCTGTGAACTTCAGCACAATAGTTTATTGTTGATGCTGAAAACTCCCACCTTCCTTCCCTCCCTCCCTCCCTCCCTCTCTGAATATTTCAGTCATGTCGGTTATGTTTGAGTCCCTGCTCCTGCCAGGCTCTGCAGACCTGCCTCCCTTCAGTGTCATTGCACAGAAATGATCAGGAGAAGAGAAGGCTTTCGGGTTTCCTAAACCATCCCAAAAGATTTTAATAGATTACCTCCTTTTGGGGGGAGAAACACGTGATCTCAGTGGCCTTTGCCCAAACAGGACCTCTGAAACCTTGTTGGCTTTCTTTATAACCTTTCTGCCTCTACTTACAAGGTGGAAGGATCCATTTTCCTTGACCCATTTGCAAACAATTTATATGTTACTAATATGTACAAAATTGCAAACAATTTATATGTTACTAATATGTGCAAACAAAATATGTTACTAATGGTGCAAAATTCACATGACTAGCTCACACGGGCACCCACCATGGCTGCATCTTCTTCCCACTGAGGCCTCAGATGACCACTGTAAACATCTTACAGTGCAGACACCTGACGCAAGAGAACACCTTTGTAGCAGCAAGCACACTATACCGGGGCTATATGAACTGGCTCTAAATTGCTGCTCTTCTTCCTTTCCCCCTTCCTTGGGGGGGGGCACAAGAGGTTGCCCTCCCACAAATGCCGTGCCCAGGCAGCTGTCCCTCTTGCCCACTGGCTAAGACCACCCCTTGCTATGTCTTTATACAATAGTCTTGAGGCTGGTGCTTGTGCCAGAGCATCCATTTGGTGGCTGTTCCCTGATGGCAAGCCCTTGGTGGGGAAGGGCTCAGCCCCAGCAGCTTTCTCCCTAGCAGAACAAACTTTTACTTTCTGTCACTGGCACGGAGGAAGCCCTCTCTGATGACTTCCCAGTTCTCTCGAGCGTGACTCATTTAGTCTCCTTCAGTCAACAGTAAAAGATATCCAGTATTCTTTCCGTCAGAGTGTTCACTGAGTCTGCATGATTTATGAATCTGACACTGGTGTGGATCTTTAGATGCAAGAGATACGTCCCCCATCCTCAGAGATGTTGCTCATCTTATGAAACCTCATTTGGTTTTTCTTGAAACTTTTTTTTTTGCCCAAGAAGGCCCCTAAGCATTCACTTCAAATTCTGCTGTAGACCCGATTTCAGTGGCAGCTCTAACTCAGGGCTCTTTCTCCTTTTTCTCAAATGAATTTAGGGATCATGCGTATAATAGGTTTGGGGATGTGAGGAGAGGAAGGCCCGGGGAGGGGGGGGAATAAGACTGGTGACTCACTCGATCGCAGGCATGTTCGGAGCAGACATTGGGCTGACCTCCTTGGCTTTCTGCAGAGCGTGCTTCTGGTTAAAAGCCTCCTCTTCCTCCTGCTCATCCTAAAAGCAAGACAAAGGGTCTAGTTAAAAGGGAATAACAGGGGGATTTTACTTGCCATAGGGGATTCAGTCCTGTTGTAAGGTGCAACCCAGAGGTGGACGGTGGCCCTTCAGGTTCACTCATGCAGTTAAAGACGAGGCAGTTGTGATTCACCCCCCCACCGCTCACTCCACCCCTTTCCCATGTGTGCCAAACCTCAGTTTGTTAGGACTGAGGATGGAACGGTTAAGCATTGCTGCAGATGCTCTGATGGACATTGCGTCAGAAAATTTAAAAGGCCATTGCAAATCTCTGGTTTGTAACCTGGCAGCTGTAGTTATAAGACTGAGTATCACATCCCAGAAGTAGGAATCAGGCTGATGCTTCGAGACCAAGTAGAGGCTGGGGTGGTGTTTAGGGGACCAGAGTGAGGCTCATATTTTTGCTAAAGCCAAAAGACGTTTTACAGAAATTGGACTTGAATTTCTTTCCCAAATATTTATTATTTATTACATTACTTCTATTAATCGCCTAATCCCCTCGATTGTGGGGCTCTAGGTGATGTACAAATTTTACAACCATAAAAACATTTTAAAAAAAACATCTCCAGCATAGTATACAATAATTAAAAGTAAGTGGCGAGAAATTTTGCCGTTCCCTCCCATATTTGGTCTGTGAGTCCTCTGGAAGCACGGGAATGAGTAAACTCTGCAAGGAACTAAAAGCAAGACAAAGGGTCTAGTTAAAAGGGAATAACAGGGGGATTTTACTTGCCATAGGGGATTCAGTCCTGTTGTAAGGTGCAACCCAGAGGTGGACGGTGGCCCTTCAGGTTCACTCATGCAGTTAAAGACGAGGCAGTTGTGATCCCCCCCCCCACCGCTCACTCCACCCCCTTTCCCACGTGTGCCAAACCTCAGTTTGTTAGGACTGGGGATGGAATGGTTAAGCATTGCTGCAGATGCTCTGATGGACATTGCGTCAGAAAATTTAAAAGGCCATTGCAAATCTCTGGTTTGTAACCTGGCAGCTGTAGTTATAAGACTGAGTATCACATCCCAGAAGTAGGAATCAGGCTGATGCTTCGAGACCAAGTAGAGGCTGGGGTGGTGTTTAGGGGACCAGAGTGAGGCTCATATTTTTGCTAAAGCCAAAAGACGTTTTACAGAAATTGGACTTGAATTTCTTTCCCAAATATTTATTATTTATTACATTACATCTATTAATCGCCTAATCCCCTCGATTGTGGGGCTCTAGGTGATGTACAAATTTTACAACCATAAAAACATTTTAAAAAAACATCTCCAGCATAGTATACAATAATTAAAAGTAAGTGGCGAGAAATTTTGCCGTTCCCTCCCATATTTGGTCTGTGAGTCCTCTGGAAGCACGGGAATGAGTAAACTCTGCAAGGAATGAGGATCCAGGTGGGGTGCCAGCCATGACGGGGAACCTTCACTGCCCTCCACCAAAGGCCGGGCAGAATATCCCTGCCTCGCGGGCCCTGTGGAGTGGCATTCAGTCCCGCAGGGGCCTGACGGAGGTGGGCAGAGAGTTCCACCTGGTCGAGGGAAGACGCTGTGGCCAGGGACCACCAGCAAGTTGTTCTGTGAAGAGCGTAATGCTCTCCCAGGGGTGTAACGGAGGAGGCGGTCCCACAGATATATGCATTCTCCTTCCCTCAGAGCCCAGCCCTGCAACAAGCCTTGTCTGATCGCCTAACACCCCCGTCTTCTTGCAAACTTTAAGAGGAGATAAACCCTATTTCATTGGTATTTATGTCCAACAGTTGCCAGCATAAAGCTATTGTCAGGTAGCCCTGTCATGGGTCTGGAATGTGGAGGGGTGCGCCTCCTCCTTGTTCTCAGCTCATCCCTGTCCAGCTTCTGTGCACTATCTCTTGCTTGACCTTGTTGTTGTTCCCAGCTGCAATTAACTCGTCTGGGAAAGCTAACTGTTTTTGCGTTCTGCCCACTTGCTTCAGCCCCTGTGCGCAAAATGAAGAAGAAGAAGAAGAAGAAGAAGAAGAAGAAGAAGAGATTGGATTTATACCCCGCCCTTCACTACCCAAAGGTGTCTCAGAGCGGCTTACAAACTCCTTTCCCTTCCCCTCCCCACAACAGACACCCTGTGAGGTAGGTGGGGCTGAGAGAGCTCTTGACAGAAACTGCTCTTTTTCAAGAACAGCTGTGCCAGAGTTATGGCTTGCCCAAGGTCACACCAGCCAGGTGCAAGTGGAGGAGTGGGGAATCAAACCCGGTTCTCCCAGATTACAGTCCCCGCACTTAACCACTACACCAAACTGGCTTCAGCTCATGGAGGGGGACATTTAATTATACTATAAGTCAGAGGCCATTATACGGTAGGCTATTCCTGACACAAGCTGTATATGTGATCATTAGTACTGGATCCATCAATAAACACTTATGTTCTTATGAAGCCCTGTGCGGTGTGACCTGACTAATGACCCTGACAGCTATCACCAAAAAGCAACCCCCCAAGTAAACATTGCACAAACAGAAGCTCAACGTAAGGGAACACTGAGGCCTAGAGAATGATCCCCAAGGGCACTTTTGCGTAGATTGCATCGTCTCCTTTAGGTTCACCCGGACAGTAATAATTCCTAAAGAACGTGCTGTTAAAACTAAATCAACTGAGTAATTAAAGGCTCCTTTGAGCCCAAGAACTAGCAACAGAGAAGACTGCTTACTGCAACTCAGTATGATTCACTGCTTGGTTCTGGTCTCCTTCAGGGAGTAAGGAAATTACCTGGTCAGACCAGGCTGCATACTGTGACTTCTGCAGACTTGCCTCCTTCCGTCAGCAACTGCTCCCAAAATTCACACTAGAGTAAATTCTTCCGAGCAGACAAAGCTTACAGAATCCAACAGTAAACCATTTCTGCTGTAAAAGTGAAGTATGGATCCATTTTCGACGCAGGAAAAAAACAGACTTCAGTTATCAAAACCTTTGGGAATGCTTGTTAAAACACTGGTCTTGAAAAAGGCTCAACTGCCTGCCTACAACCCACAGTTTGTACCTATTTTCTCTCTGCAGCCGTTTGGGTTTCTTGAGGCTCGCAGTGCTATCCTTGTATTTAATAGCCAAGGGGTGGCCCTCACGGGGGCTGAAAAATAGGTACAATGGGTTCAGGCCTGGGTACAATTCTACTGTTTTGCAAACCCAGAGGAACCCCCAGTTTGCAGTTTTTTATAACATGGGAGGGGGGTAGGTGGGTTAAAAAGCCCAAGCAGTAACAGCAATAGCCACCCTCCACAGATTCTTCGTGAAACAGAAAAGGCCTCACAAGAACTCTGATGTTATTTCGGATTGCTGAGATAAACCCTCAGGAAGTCTCCACCTCGCCTTGTGCTTTAGGGAATCGACTGTAGGTTTTCAGCACTCTGTCCCCAGTGTAGGGTGCCAGGTGGGTCACCCAACACTTGGGAAAGGGCACTAAACTCTACATCCAATTTCACCCTCACAGTGAGATTTGTGGCCAAAAGCTTCATGGCAGAGTGGGGATTTGAACCTGGGTCTAATAACATTTCACGGGGAGGAGCTGTGGCTCAGTGGTAGAGCCTCTGCTTGGCATGCCGAAGGCCCTAGGTTCAATCCCTGGCACCTCCAGTTGAGAATCAGGTGGGAGGCAATGTGGGAGATCTCTGCCTGAGACCTCGGAGAGCTGCTGGTGGTCTCAGTAGACAACACTGACCTCGATGAACCAGTGGCCTGATCCACTATAAGGCAGCTTCATTTATACAGTTTTTTAAACCATTGATGATCATGCCCCCCCCCCCGAAGAAATGGCTAACATGAGGATTTGCTAGGGATGCCAGCCTCCAGGTTGGACTTGGGGATCCCCTGGAATTACAGCTCATCTCCAGACTACAGAGATCAGCTCCCCTGGAGAAAATTGATGTTTTGGAGGGTGGACTCTGTGGCATTGTGCCCCGCCGAGGTCCCTGTCCTCCCCCAGACTCCATTCCCATATCTGCAGGAGTTTCCCAGCCTCGAACTGGCTACCCACCCCCCCTATCCCCTGCTGGTGGCCAGGGGGGGGGGGACCTGGGAACTGTAGGACTTGCCCAGTGTAAGCCAACCTACCCTCACTGCACTCATTTGAGAGAGTGCTGGGAGTGGGGGAGGACTTCTTCAGGACTTGATGGGGGGGGTTGTAAGATGCAGGAGGGTGTCAGCAAGCTGCCAAAGAACTCTGTGACAGAGGGCCAAGAAGCAAGAGAAGAATCACCGCAGGCTGGATTACTAGCCTGGGTACGGAGGTTTCCCAGAATGAAAGAGAAGAAGGAAGGGGGGGGGGGGGCAGGAGAAGTCCGACAGGGGAGTGGAAACCATCCAGAGAGGGGAGAAAAATCAGTCTCATCTTGAACTCAGGGATGCAGAAGTGAAGAAGACAAAGGAGGCAAAACTGTGCATACACGGATGACTGTCTAGAGACCACCAATGTCTGCCCTCCCACTAGAGATGAAGCTGCTATTACCTTCCACGCGCATCCCACTATCTTTTTTGTTCGCAGCATTTGCAGATGTGTGCTATGCTTCTTCATACAAAAAAAGGAAAAAACACCCAACCAAAAAAAGATGGTGGCAGTCAAAAAGGCAGAGAACACACAAAAAAATAGGAAAGATGTAATATAAATGAATGGCGCTAATTATAGTTATATGCCACTGATGAAGGCTTTGTACCGAAATGCATTTGGCAGTTTTTTTATTTTACTTGGCATTGTATGTTATCTTTTTGTGAGCAGCCATTTGTCTCCTGTTTTTGATTCATCTATATATTAAATTACTGATGCTGTGTTTTGTGCCCATAATTGAATTGGTTCATTCAGATACTGCATATCATGCTACTTCTTTCCTGGGGTTCCTCCCCCCCACTATGCTTCTTCAGCCTATTTTAACTTTCTCTCCGAGGGTTGCCAGCTCCAGGCTGGGAAATGACTTGGGATCTGGGAGCAAAGCTGGGAGAGCAGGATTTGTGTCACGGAGGGACCACAGCA